CGACTCTCCGACACCTCGGCAAAACATCGCCGCATTTTATTTCCTCTCTTTACTTTGAGCATTTACTTTGAGCATTTCAATTCTTGTCATTTACATTCCTAGAATTGCCATGCTAGAGTAGGATTAGAACTAGGTTGTAAAACTTTTGTGCGTTAGATCAATAGAAACACTTCTCTAGGCATAAGGGGTTAATTGGGCTAACCATAGGACTTAGTTATTGCGAAGAAATTGAGAATTAGCCCAATTCACCCCCCCTCTTGGGCATCTTGATCCTTTCACACTTGAAAGGTTCTAATATGGCTAGAGGGGGTGAATAGCCTATTTAAAAATCTACAAATCAACTAGAGCAATTTGATTAGTATGACAAATAGCAAAATGCAAACTTGCTCTAGCTCTATAAGGGTTGCAAGCTACCTATCTAATAATTCTAGTTGTAATGATTACTAGGCACACAACTTGCAATGTTACTACTCACTAAGAGCTCTCAAATATGCTACTCTAAAGAGCTCCACTAGATGAACTTAAACTAACAAAGCAAGCTCTCAATTCTAATTACACTAAAGAGCTTGTCATAACTAGTTTGCAAGAATATAAATGAGTGAGTAGGGTGATTATACTGTCGTGTAGAGGAGTGAACCAATCACAATATGAATACTAAATCAATCATCGGGAGAATTCCAAAGGGCAAGAGACAACCAATTTTTCTCCCTAGGTTCACGTGCTTGCCGGGACGCTAGTCCTCGTTGTGTCGATCAACACTTGGTGGTTCGACGGCTAAGAGGTGTTGCACGAACCTCGTCCACACAATAGGACACCGCAAGAACCTACCCACAAGTGAGGTAACTCAATGACACGAGCAATCCACTAGAGTTACCTTTCGGTGCTCCGCCGGAGAAGGCACAAAACCCCTCACAATCACCACGATCGGAGCCGGAGACAATCACCAACCTCCGCTCAACGATCCTTGCTGCTCCAAGCCATCTAGGTGGCGGCAACCACCAAGAGTAACAAGTGAATCCCGCAGCGAAACACGAATGCCAAGTGCCTGTAGATGCAATCACTCAAACAATGCACTTGGAATCTCTCACAATCTCACAATGATGATGGATCAATGGTGGAGATGAGTGGGAGGGCTTTGGCTAAGCTCATAAGGTTGCTAAGTCAATGCAAATGGCCAAGAGAGTGAGCTTGAACCGGCCATCGAGCTTAAATAGAAAGCCTCCACGAAATAGAGCCGTTGGACTCCTCACTGCACTGAACACGAGCCGACCGGACTCTTCGATCATATTGAACGGACGCTGGACCTCAGCGTCCGGTCGTGCGATATGCGCCATGTGTCATCGGCTTCAAACGCCGATCGCTCGATTTCAACGGTCAAGTGATGACCAGACGCGTCAGTTAGAAAGTGACCGGACGCTGGACCTCAGCGTCCGGTCGTTTCCAGTAAGGTTCCAAACGCAAATTTTCACGACCGGACGCGTCCGGTCATGCCCGACCGGACTCAACGTCTCCTCTGTACGCCCCACGTCAGCATACGTCAGCACTGACCGGACGCACCCTGCCAGCGTCCGGTCACTTTTAGCGCCAGCGTCCGATCGAAGACCGAAACACGCGCCCTCTGCTGCCACTGACCGGACGCACCGGTCCAACCGAGACCAGCGTACGGTCACATACAGTGACCTTCGTCTTCTCTGTCTAGGGCACCGGTGGCACCGTCGGACTGTCCGCCCGCCGGTGAAGTTTTCTACCCCTGCTCAAATGTGCTAACCACCAAATGTATCACCTTGTACACATGTGTTAGCTTATTTTCATAAACATTTTCAAAGGTGTTAGCACTCTACTAGATTCTAAATGCATATGCAATGAGTTAGAGCATCTAGTCGCACTTTGATAACCGCATTTCAATACGAGTTTTACCCATCTTAATAGTACGACTATCTAACCTAAATGTGATCACACTTGCTAAGTGTCTTGATCACCGAAACAAAATAGCTCCTACTATTTATACCTTTGCCTTGAGCCTTTTGTTTTTCTCTTTCTTCTTTTCCAAGCTTAAGCATTTGATCATCACCATGTCATCACCATCGTCATGATCTTTGCCATTGCTTCATCACTTGGAGTAGTGCTACCTATCTCATAATCACTTTAATAAACTAGGTTAGCACTTAGGGTTTTATCAATTAACCAAAACCAAACTAGAGCTTTCAATCTCCCAATGTGAATTGATGTGAAACCACCTTTTGGCCGTTTCTAGCACCGCAGATGGGAAGGTGAAATGTTTCCGCTTTTTGAATTGGTATGCTCCAATCCTGTTTGGTTAGCACGGTTTCGGGTGATTCTAGTGAGAAACAAAAAACAAATTCGACTGTCCAAACGGAAATTGAGAACAAGTAACTTGCTTGGATGGTTTGATTGCGCCTTTTAGCTATCCAAACAATTTGACGGTTTGATGGCCTATGTGGCTTATTAATGCAACTATCTTTTTAATGATATGTAAAATATAGTCTTCAATAGTGAGACACGTATAGTGGCTTCTTAATCTTAAAATCTTTAGATCTAGTTTCCTACATACATTCTTAGGCATAAATATGCGTGTGTGGATGTTTAAAGTGTGTTTTAGAAAGAAAGAAAAAAGACAACACATAAGGATTGTGAATTGCCTCAATAAAAGAATATTGTGAATTGCCTCAATAAAAGAATATGGCCAAACTTTAAAGCCATCCTCATGAAAAGTTAGAAACCAGAACTTCCGATTTTAACTGAAATTGAAGGGTATGAAGGGGGTGTTTGGATCCATGGACTAAAGTGTAGTCAATGTTATATCGGATGTTTGGATACTAATTAAGAGGACCAAACATGAGCTAATTATAGAACTAATTGCACAAATAAAGGCTAATTTGCGAGACAAATCTAGCAAGCTTAATTAATCCATCATTAGCACATATTTACTATAGCACCATATTGTCAATTCATAGACTAATTATGCTTAATAGATATATATCGTAAATTAGTCTCATTCTGTATAATTAGTTTTGTAATTAGTATGTGTTTAATATTTTAAATTAATGTCAAACATTCGATGTGACGTACCACTAAACTCTAGTCTATCGCCGGCCCGAAAGAAAATACCCAGGATATCATTTGCCAATACATTGCGCGAGTCAGGAACGCCGTGTTCGAATGTTTGAGTAATGATAAGCTGAGTACCACGCAGCAAATGATCAATGATGGACTGGCTGCTGTGCTGTCGCTCACAGCTGCAGCAGAGAATCTACCGAACCCACGAGCCACGACGTTGGGAGATGACACTGCAAAGGTGCACGGCACCAACCTCCTGAATTCCTACGCAACAACTCTTCCCTGTTTCACAAATGGCATCTCATAGTTCCTAATTATCACAGGTGGATCCATTTTAACGTAACGTTGCTCTGGATGAACTATGATTAAATACTTTTGCTTTTCAACGAAGGCTACCGTCATCTCATCCGAAGTGTCAAAGGTACAGTGAGGGAATTTTGTGCAACCCTTTGGCATCTGGTTGAATTATGGTCAACCAAGACCGCCATAGGCTGTGTTCGGCTGGCTGGCTGGCTAATTGCCGTCTGGCCAGCCACCTCACAAAATCACTGTTCACGTCCTGCTAGAACAATATTTTTCTCTCACAACAATCAACCGAAACAGTATTTTTCAGTCCTGCCAAACAGGCCCTCTACTAGTAGTAGGCTATGCTGCACACTTTTGACTTATCTCATAAGGAGCATTTTGTTGATGAATAATTTGCAACTTGTAGTTATAGCCGAAGACGCAATTATTACATTGAAAGTTGATGCTTTCAGATCAAGCAACCTTTGATATTCAAACTGTAACATTTTATAAAAAAAAAAATAGAGCTTAGATAATTACGCCGCCATGTTTCATTCTTCTTCTGGTTACACCCATCCATATATAATCGATTCATGTCATAGTTAGGGATGCTGTTTCTCCTTGGCTCTCCGCTATAGTTACTGTGATGGGTGTTTCACATGGTAAAATTGGCACCAGAGCAATTCCAACAGGTTGGCTAAAGTTAGTAGTCAAATTCTATTGTTTAGCAATTTTATAAAATAGAAAAGTTCTTAAAAAAGGAGATCCACAATAGCCTTGCTATTTTACAAAGTTAGATAGCCAGCGTCCGTGGTTGGCTATATATATAACCATCGAAAATTAAGGGATAACCATCTTTCTATTTTACAAAGTCAGATAGCACATCTGTTGGAGCATATTTTTTCTATACAAATTCTAAAATAGCCTCCACGTTAACAATAGTCAAGCTGTTCAAATGTTAACACACAAATGATGCACTGTAGTTGTAGCTATTTCGCTGGGACCAACAAATGTCCCTCTTGCAAGATGACATTTTTCTGACTTAATGTAAGGTGCTTCACAGAGCTAAATCACGCATGGGCATGGCCGCATGCTCTAAAGTGAGTAAAAGAAATGACAGGAAAATCATAGAGTAAATAAATGTAAAATGCATTACAAGTTACGCTTTTCAGCAAAAAAAAAAAAAAACCATGGTGATCTGCAGCTGCTGATTGTTCAGGATGGAAAAGAGAGAGAGAAGTCTCCAAGAACAGGTTGATTGGTGATGGGCAATGGGATGGGATAACTGTGGGGATGTTGGAATCGAAGCTGTCGTCGTGGGTGACCGTGAAATACATCCAAAATAGGAGGAGCGACGTGGGAAAGCTCCCCGCGTCCTCCTCCTCCGCTCCCTTTCTCTCGTCGTCCAGGGATGCTTGCTCTCCGTCCCTCCGTCCCTCCCCCACCACCTGAGAAAGAAAAAAAAAAGCCAAACCCACCACCGCCTGCCTCCGCGATTCCCATCAGCCCAACTAACCCGGAACAGAAGAGAAGAGCTCGCCACGCCACCGGTGGGATCGCCGGACACCTTACGCGCGGGGGCCTTGCCTTGGAATCCCCGGAATACACGGGGGCGTTCGAGGGAACCGAGGAGGAGCATGTCGCGGGTGGCGTCGCTGTCGCCGTCCTTGTCGGGCGACGAGGTGGAGGTGGAGGAGGAAGAGGAGGACGAGGGCGTCGACGGCTACCGCAAGGGCGGCTACCACGCCGTCCGCCCCGGGGACCAGTTCGCCGCCGGCCGCTACGTCGCCCAGCGGAAGCTCGGCTGGGGCAACTTCTCCACCGTCTGGCTCGCCTTCGACGTCCAATCACAGGTAGGCGCGCCGCGCCCTCTGCTGGCCTCTTCTGCATGAGATCGCGCGCGGCATCTCCCCGCCCGCCTCCCCGGCGATCGAGGGGAGGGGCTAAAGATCGCCCGCCTTCCCCGTCGCGATCGCTCCCCCCTCCGCTTCGTAATGCGATTGCCCGCCTAGAATAGATCTCGCGCTTTGTCGATTAGCGGCGCACCGATCGATCGCTTGATCGGATCGCAAGTACCGCTCCCGCCTCGTGCGCCATGCCTGCCCTCGGGCCCCACGCGAGGCCAGGGGAATGGGCTTGGGATTGGGATTGCGACGGGGCTGTCGGATACTCACTCGGATTTTATAGGCTTCGTTTCACTAGACTAGGGATTCGGTTTGTCGTTTCTTTCCCCATTTGGGAGGGGAGTTTGATTCATCCGTTTGCCGCTGCCATTGGGAAAGCCTTTACTCTTTCGTAACAAAACAACCAGAACCAGGTGGGTTCAGTTCAGGTCTTACACGCTGGAGGGAAACAATGCCAAATTGAAGTTTTCATTTATTTTCTAGCAGTACAATACAAAAATAAATTCAGTTGCCAGTACCGGGGGCAAACTCTTTTAGGCCCTGTTCGCTTCTCTTCGGTTGGTCTTTTCAGCCGGAACAACGTTTTTCCCTCGCAACAAATCAGCCGGAACAGTGTTTCAGTTTTTTTTTTTTTGCAGCGAAGCGAACGGGGCCTTAATGTCCCTCTTTTCTCGTAGTAATGTGGCTTACGTTTAACTATAACCATGATTGTAATTATTGCTCTGGATACTCTGGTGTCTTTGACTAGAGTTGTGAAATTGGACAAAAGAAAAATCGAACATTGTTTTCACAAATGGTACTCTCCTTTCTGCAGAGATACGTGGCCCTGAAGATCCAAAAGAGTGCGCCTGAGTTTGCGCAAGCTGCTCTTCATGAAATCGAGTTCCTGTCAGAGATCACCAAGAGGGACCCGTTGAACTGCAAATGCATCATTCAGCTGGTAGATCACTTCAAGCACGCGGGGCCGAACGGGCAGCATATCTGCCTGGTCTTTGAGTTACTGGGAGATAGCTTGCTTAAGCTGGTACAGTACAACCGGTACAAAGGCATCGGGTTGGATAGGGTGAGGCGAATATGCAAGTCGATTTTGGTAGGCCTTGATTACTTGCACAATGAGCTTGGCATCATCCACTCAGATTTGAAGCTTGAGAACGTTCTCCTTGTCTCGACCATTGATCCCTCCAAGGACCCCATTCGTTCTGGGCTTAAACCTAACCTTGAGAGGCCTGAGGGAAACCCTAATGGTGAAGCTGGTCTTAATGCGATTGAGAAGAAGCTAAAGATGAGAGCAAGGAGGGTGCATGCAAAGCTTGCTGAGAAAAGAAAATCAGCTGTGGAACCTTCGCGCTCAGAAAGGAGATTGGATGGAATTGATCTTACATGCAAGATTGTGGACTTTGGGAATGCTTGCTGGGCCGACAAGCAATTTACAGATTTTATTCAGACACGGCAGTATCGGGCGCCAGAGATCATTCTAGGTGCAGGATACTCGTTTTCTGTTGACATGTGGTCATTTGCGTGTATCGCTTTTGAGCTCGCAACAGGAGAAATGCTATTTACACCCAAGGAAGGTCACGGATACAGTGAAGATGAGGTATATATCGCATTCCTCATGAGCCTAGTTATTTTGTTCATCTTTGAGTTGGCTTCAATTATGCAGTGCATGCCCACAACCCCACTATAGAATTATCCAATTTAGTGAAGTGAAAAAGTAAGCACTGACATGGACACGCAGAAGTATGTCTAAACTCAGAAAACAACCATAGTCAACATGAATATACTTAGCATTAGAATTTGGAGCTGGACAAAAAATTTTTCCATTACCCCTGTAATCCTGTTTACCTCGAATAGCTACAACAAATAATATGTGCACCCAAAAAATATCAGGGGAATGGTTTTCCTTTCAGCCTTCAAGATAAAAAACTGCTAGTGTTCTCGACTTTGAATATTAGATTATTCGACAATATTCTGAAACGCCAGTTTCAATAGACATTGAAACTGAAGTTACATTTGGCATATTGGCATTATCATGAGCACTGAGAGCATGAAAGCTAAGCCTTGCAAACTCTAGTTGATTATTATCTTTTAGCCCTTTAGTTACTTTTATTGAGGACTGAAGGTTGTCTGCAGGATCACTTGGCTTTAATGATGGAACTACTTGGCAAGATGCCGAAGAAGGTAAGCCCAGCATTCCTTTTGCAATTCAATTCTTTGTTTCTGAAATATCAAGCTAACCTGTACAGTTTTCCAAATGAATTCAGATTGCAACCATGGGAACACGATCAAAGGAATATTTTGACCGCCATGGAGATCTGAAGCGGATAAGAAGGCTGAAATTGTCATCCATTGAACGTGTCCTTGTTGACAAATACAAAATTTCTGAATCTGATGCCCTGGAATTTGCCAGTTTTCTTTGCCCTTTACTCGACTTTGCACCAGAGAAGAGGCCAACAGCTTTAGACTGCCTAAAGCATCCATGGCTTCGATATAACGAGGATAAAGCTTGTGGTCCTCTTAACAATAATGATGCCAAGAACATTGATCTGGCCCAAAGCACAGGGAGTATCACCAGTGGTGACTGTACAAATATTGATTTGACGAGCAAAAAAGCGGCCCCACTGGAACTTGTGATAAGACTGCTGATGCAAAATACAACACCAGAAGCATTACCAGCAATGCTTCCATGAACACTGATGTACAGCCCAATACTGGAAGCATTGTGAACAGACTTGCCAAAAATGTTGATGTAAATCCGAACATTGGTTCCATCACTAATAGAGATGCCAAGACTTCTGATATGAAGCCCCACATTGGAAGCATCACCATCAGTGACGCCAAAAGCTCTAATGCAAAGCTGGATACAGGTAACATCACTGATAGAAATGCCAAAACTGTCAATATAAATCCCAACTCTGACAACATCTCCAGCAGAGATGACAAGAGCAGTAATGTGGACACCACCACTTCCAGTGTTGTCAACAAAGATGTGAAGCGCAGCATCAGAAGTGTTGTTAATTCTTATATCAAGAACTTTGATGCACAATGCAACACTGGAAGCCCTGCTAACAGTGATGCTCGGAACTCATCAAATATGAAACCCAGCACTAGAATTGTTAGCAGTGCTGATAATGTCAAGTGTATGGACATAAAACCGATCAGTGGAAGTGCTAAGAGCAATGACATCAGTCCTAAGAGCAATGACACCATCAATGCTAATGTGAAATCCAACACTGGAATTGTTGCAAACAGTGATGCCAAGAACACCGATGTACAGACTAACATTGGAAGTGTCGACAGCAGCGATGATTACAGCGTTGACTCAAAACCAAACATTGGTCGGGTTGCTGCGAGCATACAGAGGTTGGAGAGCAGCATGAGTAAAGTGCAAAGCGGGAAATACAGGTGATACATCACATGCTAGTGCTGACGAAATACCTATTTTCACTGGCTTGGATATATGTTCATTGTGGAGAGGCTCATTCTTTTGCATTAAATTTCTACTATTGATTTGATTGCCGAGGATAATAACTACTTATCCAGGGCCAACCTTCCTCAAGATTGAGGATCTGGCAGGTACCAGCTGGCGTTATTGTATATCTCCATTCCCGCTAACTGTACAAAGTTTTGTATTTGCCCACAAAACTTACACGGAGGTAAATATTCCCCATACATACCCTGGAACAAATTGTATTAATGCTCACAGATTGACTGCACTCAGAATTACATAGCAGTCTTTTGGACATTTTAGTGGGTAAAATATGGAATCTCTTTGGGAACATACTTGTATATGCAGTAGTAGCAGAAGATTGCTGTTCCTATTATGGTGGATGCACTGGAAAGGGAAGAATTACACTCTGACCAGTCACACGGCATCTCTCTTGATTATGTTCATATTCTGCTCTCAGTGAAGAAAAAAAAAGAGATTTCATTATGTCATTTAACACGGATCACCATTTATCTGAGCAGGGGTGTCTGACATTTTGTTTGGTTTATGGTTTGAGATTTGCTTGTAAAAAGCGGGACGTGTTTGTAAAACTATTCTTTGATGTTCATTTTGTAGTGAACAATCATATAGATGGATTTTTTTAACTTTGTGTTCAAACTATATCGGTGTTCAATTCTCGAAACATTTATCTTATTTGCAGAAGGCTAACACTATTAGCTTGAGCATTTGCTCGTCCATCTTAGTCAATCTTGTTGTGAATGTGGGATGTTAACTGGTACTACAAGGAAGGATTCAAATGGAACGATGATTCATGTATAGTTTGTACTCTATATATATGACATTCACGTAGTCCTAAAAATTACCTTCGATAACCAACTTTTGTTGTACAGTAAATGTATTCACGCAACAGCAAAATCGTACGATTATTGAACTACCTCCACAAACAATGAACTTATTGTTAATCAAATTTGACAGAGGTTGTCATAATTGTCGCTTATACAATTCACATTTACAGAGGCTGGTGATTAATATGGCCGCCTACGTAAATAAATAGATTAAAAAACAAAAAAGCATCGAGCAACGGCTTATTGAGCTTGAGCTCCATGGAACTAGCCCTGCCACCACCGTCCCTCACGTCCGCGCTACCGCCACCGTCACCCCTTGCAGTCATCACCACCTGCAACAACGACGGAACCACATGTGCATCAGCCGAGATGGATTGGGGTTGGGGCGGCATGATTCGAGCGATGTGAATCAAGGGGACCATGTACCTGGGGTTTTGGCCACAAATTGAGCTAGCACACCACAACTAGATCACAAGTGTCGCTGTTGTTGAGGTCAGTAGCGGATCCAGCTAAAATTCCACTGATGTCATAAGTACTACGTCATGGTTTAAGTTCACGTATGAGCATCAATTTGCAATGAAAATCTCAGGAAATCAATGAACAGGGCTAGCTCCGCCCCTGGTTGAGGTCGTCATAGTGCTTTGGAGGCGCGCCGAGACCGTTGGAGTGCCTCCTCCATCGAGGTTTCGCCGAAGCGGCTGTGGGGTGCCTCCACTATGTTGGGCTCCTAGATATCTAAATATCTAAATGTTGTGGAAGAGAGTATGAACAGTGTGGACATGGGTGAACATGCATTGAAAGTGGTGGATGACTAATCTGAATATCTAAATTTTTCATCATGTTGTGGAGTAGGCAATTTTGGTAAAATATCCACATCTTGTAATATGCAAAAATCTGATTCGCTCTTACACAGTGTCGACGAAATATGGTCGGCAGTCTACCTAGGGGTATACCCAAGGTAGTAGATTGTCGGCAGACAGATGCGCAAGCTACAAACAAGACGATGACGCAAGACAGACACAAGGTTTTATCCAGGTTTGGCCGCCAAGAAGGCGTAATACCTACGTCATGCGTCTGATTTGTATTGCTGTATGTCAATGAGAGATGTTTTTTAGAGGGGTCCCCTGCCCGCCTTATATAGTTCGAGGGGCAGGGTTACAGATCTGGAAACTAATCCTAGCCAGTTACAATTGCCATATGTGGCCGGATAAGGATTCCTTTTCTAACCGACCAGGATCTTGATTGATCGCCAAATCCACCTTGACTCCTTGCGTGGGACTCCGATCAGGTTAACCGGACCGCACGTCGTCTTTTGGTGGACCGAACCCATCGATCCGGACCGGCCCAAGCTTAGCCATAAGGGTATAGGGGTTAATACCCCCACACACAGAAACCTAGTTCACTCGCTAAAGCATTTCTTAGATTGATACGACATCCAATCCCTGCCTTTCTAAGATAGAGGAGTTGGCTAGTTTAGCATTCTTATTTCAATGTCCACCCATGATGCAAAGTTACATTTCACAATTTCTAAGAATACCACATCATCTACAGAGTTTCCAAGAATTATGCACAGTGAGTGGCCTAACGTAGCCAATCTATGCTGACTTGTTTTTATAGCGGGTGCTAGAAAATATAGAGCATTTGGAGGTTATTAGATCAATTTTTTATGTGTTTATATCTTTTATTTTTGAGAAAAGGAGTTATTTTCAGCCTATGCGACTACACATCAAGTGTGTGTTCACAATTTACATCTTTTTGGATCTTATATGAAGTGTTTGGTTTGAGAAATGACTCCATTCTAGATGAGGCGGTGCATCATGAGTTCATTTTTCAATTTAGTGTAATGACCTCATTTCTCGTACTATTAATAATTATTAGTTTTTATGACGAATGAAGTGGTGATGGATCATATCAACTTATTGCATTGTACAAACCAAATAAAAAACTAAAGAGTGAGGCCATAATAGACCACTCTATTCCACGAACCGAACACCCCCACAGTGTATTTGTGTAGAGGTGTATGTCACGGTGCATAGCAATTAATTTTTGTTTGCTAACTAAAAATTGCAATGCAAGACTCGTAAAAAATGTATGTGCATGCCAAACTCTTGTTAAGGCACACACTGCATGCATTAGAGCAGTCCTTTTACAATTTTCCGAACCCAACCGTCCCCACTTCCCACTCCCCAGGAGGCAGGAGCCTTCCGCGCCGAACGCGGCTCGCCGCTCTTCCTCCTCCTCCCCCCTCCCGTAGGCGCCTTCGTCGTCCTCTCCCCAGCCTTGCGGACGCTGCTGCCGTGGAGCGCAGATCGACCCTGACTCTGCCCGATTTCTTCTCTTGTCGGTAAGGAAACTCGGCTGGAAATGCTCGTTCATTCTGCAGATACTATTTATTTTTCTTTTCTTCGTCTCCAGCCCTCGATTCCAATGTCTTCGTTTCTCTCCGACCCGTCGCGGATTTGTTTGATGCCCGCATTTCTGGATTTTGGGTTTCTGGTCGCTTTGATTGCGCGCCTGATTAGTGATTAGAAGCATCATAAATTCATAATTCGTAACTCACAAGGTGATCCGGCAAATTTGTTCCGTCAAAAGGATCATTTCCCGCACAAAATATGATAGCCAATCCGAGCTGGCAGGCACACGTTGGTATTTTGTAATGTGAGAAATCGGTTGTGTAACCAGCTGCAATGTGACTCTTTGGGGATCAGATTATTTGAAATCGGTTGTGTAACCAGCTGCAGATACTTGTTATTTTAGATGGCTTTCCATGGTGTTTCCTTTTTAGCGTGCACGGAGTTTTGTTCTGTTGATGTAGTATTCTTTAATAATCCTAATGTCAATATTTTTCGAAAATAATCCTAATTACATTGGGTACCGACACTTTAAAAAATAAAAAAAGATCATAGGACACATTGGAGAGCAGTAGTTTTAAGTTCCTCACATGACCACTGTTTGAACGGGTTCAGTTCAAATCAGAAAATTTGGTTTGTAAACCGAAGTGTGCAAATAAATATACAACCGATGAAGATTGAGTTGGGAACAGGAATGCAATTGCTTTATTGTTCAGAAGAACTATAATAATTGTTTGAGTGCAAAGCAGTAATCACATAAATACTAGTGTGACTATTTATTAGTTTGCTTGTGCAAACGTGCAACATCTGAGATCTACAATCACAAAATAATTGTTTCTTTGTTGTGCTTTATAAATCTTTTCAGATGCTAACATAGAAGGTTCTTACATATTGCAGAGCGTGGGAAACCCTGCAATGAAATGGAAAAATATCTTGAGGGAAATGGCACCGCTGAGGTCCACAGGCAGATTCTTTCGACGCCATCCTTCAGCTCTCTGCTTACTGATTTTCCTACTTGTGTTGTACAAGTACTTCTTTGGCTGGTTCACCCTCATCGTGACCACATCACCTATCTTCCTAATCGCTGGCGTCTTTCTTGGAATCATCCTGGCGACGGTGAACCGAACAATCCTGAAAAAGATCATGTCTACAAAAAAATTGAGAATGCTCGGAGTTCGGATGTCCATAACATCAGCAAATCTGTTAGGGGTGTACCTCTTCCTACAATTCCGTCCGGTGAAAGAGAGAGAGTGGCGAAGCACAAAACAGGGTTAAGAAAATTAGGAGGCGATCTCATGGTGTAGCTTCTTCTTCTGAACCAGGATCAAGTGAATCAGGTGGTTCAGATACTGATACCGCTCCAATGCTCCATGCATTTCGTCATCTCGGGTCGGGCAGCAATTCATCACAGTCCTCTCAAGATGGTGACTCCAATGACAGCAGCACTGAAGATGGAGCGGAAAACCAACAGGGCAATGATGGCAATGTACGCAAGGGGAAACAGCATGCTAAAGTTGTAGCATGGACTGCTGACGACCAGAAGAACATACTGAAAATCGGGTGCTTGGAGATTGAGCGTAACCAAAGGTTGGAGACCCTAATTGCTAGGCGTCGGGCAAGGAAACACGCAGACAGGAACTTGATAGAATTTGGTAGCACTGATTCCTTACCCACTATTGAAGAACTATCAAAGTTCAATGTTCAAATTCCTGCTGTTTTTGCTCCTAGAAAAAATCCTTTCGATCTTCCTTACAATGAAGATAACTTCCCAGATTCTGCTCCATCTGCGTTGTTGGAAACAGGAAACCCGTTTGATCTACCAAGTGAGCAAGCAAATGAGAGCAGCTCCAATGGAGGAGCCAACTCAAGCCAGGCTGAACCTATTCCTGTAGCATGTCATTTACAGAGGAGTGCACTGTTGAGGAGGCATGAGAGCTTCACTGAAGGAGCACCATTCCTTAGTGACTTTTTGCAAGATACGCAGCCTTCCCGATTCAGACCATACTTCATGACAGAAAAAATGGCTAACGAGGAAATGACAGATCCAGTTCTTGAAGGAGAAACTAGTGAAAAGAGCAACTCCAAGGCCAGCTCTGCTCAAGACTCGGCTAGTACTTCTTCAGTTGCCGACCAAGAAAGCCAGAAGGATGTTCTGGAGGATTGCTCAAACCAAGGACAACAATCTTCTTTCAGTCAAACGGAGGAACATGCACATACAGCTCGGCATGTAAGGGAGGTTTCTCTTGCCCTTGACATGGAGCCACCTGTATTAATTAGTGATTCCTCTGATGATGACATATCACTGTCTGGTGAACATATAAATGATTGGGAGGAAGCACAACAGAGTTTTTCTCAGAATACATTGGTAGAGGATCCTAGTGTCATGCAACACCATCAAGAAATAGATATGACAAGCAATGGATTGAATCAGATGTCCCCACATTCAAATGATCTCGAGCTGACGTCGTCATCAACCGAAACCACTGATGATCCTTTTGAAGTGAATGACATTGAACCACCAGGTACCATAGAGTAATATATCCTTTTCAGCTAGCGATTTGTATAATGAATCCCACATTTTATTAGTGTTTTCCTACTTTCTAGCCAAGGAAGTGGTCGTCATTGATGATACCCACGTTCTGGATCCTGTGTACGATTCAAGTCCTTCGGGAAGCGTAGAGGCCCGCACCTATTGGTTTAGTAACTGATGGACCTGTCTTGAAAGATGGTAACCAAAGACTACAATGAATTAATCAGTTCTAATCGTGACATAACGCTGTCATTCTTTTTTTCCTAAAGTATAGAATCAAATTGCAGGTCATGCTCGTACTCTTGATGCTGAAGCAAGCATCGAAGAAGGGGTTTCACCATCAAGAATGGAGGCTTCTTCCAGTGAGGTTGCTGGACCTAGTTTGAGTTCTGTGGAGGAAAGCAAATTTCTAGAGAAAGAAGCCTCTGAGATAAGAGAGCAGTCCATGGTTGGCCATGTCGAAGGACATGGAGGTTCTGTCAGTCATGCTGATCCTTCAGTATGTGATATAAGTTCTCAGCCAAGTACTGGAAGTTCAACAAATGGTAAATCTCATTGATTGGGATCTTTTCACCTGAATCTTACTAGCCTACATGAATTGAGGTAGTTATTGTGTACGGGGAGCATTTAAGCAAGGTCACAATAAGTATAGAAAAAGAAAAAGGTGCCTCCAAATCATAGTTTTGTATAATTTTTTTTTTGCGGGTAAAATATCTACATTTCTGGCTTTGGAAAGGTTCTTCTCAATCATTAGCACATCTGGAACAGTAAGACAAAACAGTTATATAAATTAAAAGTGAACACTATGCCAAGCAACCTTGTTGTAGCTGCACCTGAGCATATGCATTATGTGATAAGAAACAGCAGCAACACTAACAAACAAATCAACCCTGTCAAAGATGGACAACGATTAGACACATTAGGTATTCGTTAGGTTCCAGATGAACTGATGTTTATGGATTATGATAGCAATTCAGCTGATAGCATGCAGTAAGTTTCTGGGATAATGACTCTGCATATCAGGATCCAGCAGCACGGTTCATATTGATGAACTCTCTGCCAATAAACTAAGCAACTACCTGTGGGCCGTGGTTGTAACACATGTACTTACCTTCCTCTGATTACTTGTTGGAACAGGTGATTCTGGCAGTGGTGTCACACCATCCTCCACAAACACAGTTCTTTAGTTTCTTCAAAAAAATGACGGTGGCACCGAGCATCAGGTTGGACGTCTTCGGCAGTACTCTGCAAGGCATTTTTTTGTGTGGGGCGAGTTCTTGCTGAGTAATCACTGGGAGGGAATATGTTTCTTGCAAGGGATTTCTTAGTGCTTCAAAGGGACTAGGCAACATGTTGGACCTGTATAGTCTGGATTTACTGAAGAAGATATGCAACATTAGCATTAGCACTTCACTGTAAAATGGCTAGATATGGTCCTTTTGGTCTCTCTCTCGATTGTGAATACCTTCTGGACTGTCAATTTTGTGCCGTAAGTTGTCAGTCCGCTGCTTCAAGTACCTTAGTTTATGAATGAATTGCTTTGGAACTCATACTACCTGGTGTGCAGTTGCCCTAGCGTCTGAAGTTTACCTTGCGTTGTTGCTTCTGGTTCCAGGGATCTGTAGTGCTATGGTGTTCCTCCGCAGTGTCCTGCGCTTAGCTGTGTTTGCCGTCTTGTTAGGCATTGTGTTGGTCGCTAGAGTCCTCTAGTGTTTCGGTAATCCTCCACCGCGAGCGTATATATGTCCCGCGTCCAGACACGTGGCCTCACCGTTGTCCGCGTACTGTACCCACCACATAAATATCTAATACTTCGGTCAGGTACTCAGCTGACCACTTAGACTTGTCATCTCCGGTTCTATCTCGTCTATCTCTCATCCGTCTCTCCATTCAAAGCAACACGGAGAGGAAGGATGTCGTGGAGCTTGTGCATCTCCTTCCCGTCTCGAACTCACGCAGCCACCAGCCCTCTGCGCGCCGCCGGCAAGCTCCGCACCGCCGCTGAGCTCCACGCGAGCCCCGTGTTGCCGATGAGCTCAAGCGCGCTGCTGCCGGAGACCCCTGTGTTGCCGGCGAGCTCCGCGCCACCAACATTCACGCGTCGTCGCTGAGCCTAAGTTGCTTTTAATTGGGAAACTAAGTTAATATAGATTAATCAAATTAATATTTTATAACATGTTAAACATCATTACTATAACGTAGATTACGTCGTTATGAATCTAACGCAACTTGAATGAGTCAAAACAGAGCTAAAACGTAGGGGATATGTTAAAAACAAGGTGGATGGCAAAACTGTAAATAACTGGATCTAATTTTCAGAAATAAATAAATAAAATGAATTTTGAATCCGAGCAGGGACCGTGGGTTAGATTTTTGGAAAACAGAAGGGCTCTTTTGAAATTGTGCCGTGGCTGACCGGTATTGACCCGATCTGGGTCGTTGATCGGAGATTGAACGAACGAAAACAGAAGGGAGGGAGATGTTGCCGGCACAGTACCGCAGGTGGCGGCGCCATGGCCGGAAAAGGCTCGGCCTCGCCGGAATCTCGCCGGAATGGCTCGGCTTATATAGCCCCCAGGTGGCGCTGTCGATGGAAGGAGGGAGATCGAAGCCGATTTGAACTCGCCATGGATGGAAAGTGCCGGCTTCCAAATATGGAAAGAGCTAGAGGTAAAAGAAAGAAGGTGTCGTGTGAGATTGACACGCGGGGCCACCTGTCGGCAAAACAAGGCGCGGGGCGGTGGCGGCAGAGATGAGAGGGAGAAAGGGGCGGCGCTGGCGGCTTGGGCGGAAGCTCGATCCGGGCTTTCGAGCAGTGCAAGGGAGGGAGCCCCGATCTGATGGCCGAGGGGATGGCGCGCTAGGCTCATGGATGGGAACCAGAGAGGGGTGGAGTGGGCTATGCAGGCCGAAAAGAGAGATGGTGACGTTTGCCCTTTTTCTTATAAATTTCCAAAGCCATTTTCAAATAGAGTTTTGAATCCATTTTGAGTTTGACTCAAAACCACTCATTCCAATAAATCAAATGCATTGGCATGTATGCTCAAACATGTTGCTATCTTATGATATATTTTAACTTATTGAAAAATTATTATTTTTCTGTGTTTTCATGAGAAAAAAATACATAATTAAATCAATTTAAGCCTATTTCAAAAGGAGCAAATTTTATGGTGTTACATGTCTTGAGGTGAGTAGGGTCGTACACGAACGTCTTCATAGCAGCAGACGCGAAGAAGAGGGTCAGCAAGCGAGACGTGAAGAGCACCAGCGCCCATGTATATTAGAGATGATGAACACGGTTGGAGATGGAAAAAAAAATTTATCATGAGATGGTGAGACGCAGTCTTGATTTCAGAAATCAGTCTCCTAGCCAGCTGGCCTAGTCGCTGTGCCTCCAGAAAGTGCTATTGTGGTTTGTGTGCTTCTAGCGGGACGATTCTTTCTACCGGCCTGATCTCTACTGGGTTCCTATATATTGGACTATACCGATATGCAATTTCCTACCCAGATAAGATCGGATCTAAATTATAGTGAGCTTTGGAATCACTGCTAAAAACCTAGCGACATTAGGTAAGCAACATTTGCTAATCACATCCTATGTCTCTTATTTGTTGGGTGGCATCCAATGCCCTGGATCCCAACGTCATGCCCTAAGACCCTAATAATAATCTATGCGCTGTATGAAATCGCTATGAAATTCTAATCGGGGTTGATCAAAACAAGCCGATTCTGAGCCATTCCAAACGCCTCTGTTTTCACCAGATCAATCACATTGACCTTCGTGTGAGGTTCTAAGAAACGATAATTAACAACACGCACAACCTTGACCTGTTATTTTTCTCATCCATGTAGCTACACACACTGGCTCCAATGGTGATTACAGCCGGTAGGGTCGTTAGCATTTTCAAAAATATTTTTCAAAGCATTTTCACTTGCTTTCACACCACATCACTATGTCTAATGCATATGCAACGTTAGTCCTCACCTAATGGCACTAATAATCATAATCACTTTAGAATTCCCCTCTTAATCTACGGCTATTGCACTTTGTCCAGCGAAACAAAACCCCTGTACATTATACCTTTGTCTTGGGGCTTGTTTCCGAACTCCTTCCAATTCCTTGCAATGGTTGCAACTCCTTCTCTTCTCTTTGTTGAGCACTCGCACCATGGTCATTATCAACTCCACCATGCTCCTAGCCTTGCTCAACTCCATTTTATGGACCCTAGCTCAATTATCTCCAATTGAAAGCATTAGTCCACTAGTTGTCAGTTAATTATCAAAACAAAAAACTAGGGCTTTCACCCCTAGTAGATATTGTAGGATTTGTTCTACCTCCTAATTATAATTAAATTACTTACAATTTGTTGCGCCATGCTCATGCCGACTAAAATGAGCTAGCTATTTTTTGTTAGATTTAATTGGGCTTGGCCCAACCTTAAATCAAATAAATTCCTAGGCCCATAATAAATGCTAGTGTGATAAAGGAGTAATCTCGTATGAGAAATTGACATGTAACGACTTAAATAGGTGGTTATGAGTGCATCTATCGTGAGTTTTAAGAAAGGTGGAAGGCATGCCACCCACACACATGTTGCAACACTAACACGCTCGGCGATGCAAGTAAGGTTTTGCAACTCTAAAATCAAACCAAGAAGGGTGACAATGAGGTTAAAAAGGTGAGAGTGAGGATGATGGATCAAGAGACGTACTAGAGAGTAGCAGGATAGCCAGACGGTGGAGAGAGAGAGAGAGAGAGATGGAAGAAATAAATTTTTACATATTAGGTATATAGATAGGAAACGGGAAATTAGGCAAACCTAAATAGGCTGATAACATATATCTCGCTTGGAGTAACAAAGAATTACTACATCAATATCAATGATGATGATGAAATTATTAATGTCACTGAAGCCTCTAATTAATAACCAGATACATCATACATCAGGTTTTTTAATTTAAATAATGAAATCGTGGTTGTACACAAATTGAACTTCTAAACTTATAAGGCTAATCATCATGTTTTGTCTTCTTTAACAATAATATATATATTCACCACAAATTATTACCACTCAGTAAGGTAACCAATAATCGAATAAATAGCTACGAATCAGTTCATCGGTATAAGCAGCTTCTATATGGGGGCGTCCAGTAATCTGGGCCGTTGTTATCCCTGTACACTTGAGGCGTGCATGAGACGGGTACCAAGCACAGGCCTCTACTTCGCAGGTCGATCTCTGTCTCCGACTTCTCCTTCCTATCCAACCCTCCCCATGCGTTGTAGTCCTGACAAAATAAAATATAAGGTTAATACGTGTTAGATCATAACAATTTAAAATTGTAATGTGTAGTTACAAAGGAAGCATGCATAATGAGTACTACTAGCTATATGTTATTACTGTTATTCTATACTTACTCTGTTACAAACTATAAGCCATTTTGGCTTTTCACATACGCATACATTTTGTTGTGAACTTAGATAGATATATACTATGTCTAAATACATAATAAAATTAATGTATTTAGAAAACCAAAATATCTAATAATTTGAAATAGGGAGTACTTTTGTATTGTCCCGTCGTTTTGAGTTGACTAAAAACTTACATTACTACAATATATATACAGCTGTTTTATTTGTCTGAGACGTCAAAGTAAACTTCACTGGAGGTACAGTGTATACCTCAAAGACTCAAAGGCATCATGCATAGTGGAAAAGAGGTAGGCAGCTTTGTTAAATATTGTACCTTGCTACTGCTTGTCTTCATGTATGGATCACTCAGCAACTGCATGCAACAAACCAGAAAGAGAAGCTAGTCAGTTCAGCTCAAATAATAAAAACCCTCCAAAAGCAAAAATGAGACTCAATTCATCAGAGAAAGCATTCCACGTTTTATATGATGAAGTGATAGAGCCAAACTGCCAAAGGGAGAGGGAGAGGTGGTGTCTAAGGGCGCCATGACCATGCATTCCATTACACAAAAAGCAGCAGCACTACTAACACCCATGTTGTGCAAAATACCAACAAAGGGGAGCCCCTGCTGGGGCCCGCCAGGAAGGGTATGAGTCGACATAGGCTCTGGAGGTAGGACACGTGTCCTCTGGTGGTTGGCCGCGTTGCATGATGATACCATTTCAGTTCCCCCCTCCCCTTCCCTGGAAACACCAGGGCCTTTTTCAATCCTTTTTGACAACCCAATAATTGCACCTGGCTATATATAAATTATGGAAGTCTTTAAAAGATTTTAAAAAGTTTTCCATCACAAAACATGCCGATTTAAAAAAGATTTTAAAAAGTTCTCCACCCTCGTTCTCGCTCAGTGATTGAAGTCTTTAAGCAGCTTATGCCCTACGCATATAAAAATGGGGGATACTAAAAGACTAGGCTACTGGTACTATACATACAATTAAGGTCAATCAAGTTAATTAGTTCAGGTATTAATAAAAGCATGAGAAAACAAGCTATTGGGAAAGATTAATAAGATAACTAAACTTTGAGGAGTATATATGCAATATGGCCAAATTACCTGCACTTGTTCATGCAACCACTTGATGTAATTTATCGCCTCATACAGAACTGATGCGGTATCGGTCTAAGACATGCACACATATATAAGAGGTAGGTCAATGAAAGGGCCATTAATATGAACTAGTATAATATTCGAAATAACACATACGTATATGCAGTACGAGCGTACGTACCTTTCCAAATGGTGAAACGATCTGTTGCAGTGCAGTGATCTTGTCTCCTAACTTCACTTTTGGCACCTGCGATGCCTGTTAAACTAAGCAACATCAACATCCCAACCAATAAATATTTATATATATAGCGACTATGTACTTATGTATATGTCGCTAAAACATCGTATGACATGAACTCTGGCATTTGATCTGAGCTAGTTCTATAGTGTGTGTTACACCCTAGACTACTCTTGAGTTAGTATCTGAAACCCGCCGAGTCTGTTAGTGAAACACATTCTAGTTTTGTTCACATTACTCTAAATGGTTTGCATCCGAGGATAGCAAAAAGTAATTTAGAAGTACTTAATCTGTTCCAAATCATGAGTCACTTTAGTTTTACCCTAAGTCAGAAAATTTTAACTTTGAACAAAGTTATCGAAAATGACGGATATCTACAACATCAAATTAGCATACATCCATCATAAAACATGTGATGATACATGATACTGCATTTATTTGGTATTGTAGATGTTAATATATTTTCTAAAAACTCGATCAAATTTGGAGAAATTTATCCTAGGACAAAGCTAAAATAACCTATATAATTGGGAATGAAGGAAACAATAAACACATGTGGTGCCAAGCGAAGTTTAAGCAATGTTGCTATAGTGGTTGAATTTAAGGGGAAACTATATTCATAGTAACCATCACTACATTTGAGGATATATAAGCACATGTTTATTACATGGTAAGCATAGGATTTAATTTAAAGGAAAAGCTACTGCCTATACTGAGTGTTTAGCTAGCTCTGACACTTGATTTCTCCCTTCTCCCATCCATCATACACAAGGAATTCTCCATAGTTCTGATGACTTCCGCTCTGATGACTTCCTAGTGAGTTGGCGCTCAAGTTTAGGGATGAGGGTTTTCGCAAGAAAGTGACTGGTCTAGAGGGAATGCTGCCACAGTGATAAGTTGGGCCATTGGTGATGGTGGATATAGGGGAAATGGGGCCATATCATTGGTCAAGGTGGAGGAGGAAAGCTAGTGTGGATGGTTGGGCAGAGCCGCAGAGGTGAGTGGGACGATATATATGGGTGAGGTGGTGGATCCGCTAGAGGAAGCTATTGGAGACAAGGAAAAGGGATATGATTCAGGCCGAGTGCAAAGGAGAAGCAAGCTATGGGAGATAAGGAAAGAGTATAGGATAGGGGCGATGGTGCAGAGGAGAAGCTTAATCAATTTGCTAAAGGGGGTGATGGAGGTGTAAACTGCAGTTAGAGCTCACAAAAAAATCACCGCCAGTAACAACGACACCCCAAGTGGCAAGGCTGTAGCATTTGGGAAGAATGAGGCTTGGAAATATGCTTCAAAATCTAGTGTCGAGCCCGATAGTCGGACCAGAGAGTGTTAATCTGGATTAGGCAATTCATGTTTAACTTCCTTAGAGCTTGTACAATGAGGATGCTAGGTGATTAGCAAAAAACCCAATTTTCCTACTATGCCATTATTAGTACTTGATGCTTAAAAGGTGGATAAGATATTTAAATTAGCATCTATCAATGCTCAATATGTGTGAATAGGATGTTGAGCCTATCTAAGCATCTGTTTCCATTGTAGGAGTTAACTTCTATACTGATGCTTAATGATATAACAATCTTCTCTCTCCTTAAGCATCTGTTTCTTAGCTTCTTATATTGTATACTCCTTAGAAACTTTTGATTGTCATCCAAAGATATCTTCGGATCAGAGCCAAATTCCGGAAAATAAAAAAATGCATATAGTACAAATTAAAATATTCATAAGCAGAAATGCACATTGGCGGAGCTTTAACTAAAATTGAGAAGGGGCCAAACAGACTCGAGGCACTGATAGAGGAGTCTAGATTAGCAATTCATCAGCACTTAAGTGGTGGAATTAAGTATCATGGCCCACTTTATAGTTGCATATGTACGTGTAAACTAAATGGACAGGATGACCTGCATGGCTGCATGCGCGTGTAGAGGCTAGCTAGGTGCAGTGTGTGTACCTTGAGAGACGACGTGGGCGAGGAGGCCTCATTCTTGGACTTCTTGGCGTTCCCCTCCGAGCCTTGCTGCTCCTCTGATCTCTTCTTCTTCCCCTGCGAGCTTCCCTTGCTGCCACCTCCGCTGCTCGTCTTTGCCTAAAGAAACGATAAGATCGATCAGCGGGTTCCTCTGGCCGCTTAGAATTATGTTGTCGACGGTCGATCTTACCGGCGAAGAGATTTCCTGGCCTTGCTTCTTGTACTCCGCATGCACCTTCGTCGACGTGGCCGGTGCCGGCTGCTCTGGTTTTCCAAGCGGCGCTCCGCCGAAAGATATCAGGTCCGAAAGGCTCCTCGCGGCGCCGGCATTGTTGCCCCACGGCACGTCCATATACATCCTGTTGCTGCTGAGCCCGAGCATGGAGCTGTAGCCCGCGGGCCGGAGGAACTCCTGGCCGCCGCCGCCGCCGGTGCCGCTGCCCCCGGACGCCGCTTCCTCCAGCATCGCGCCGTGGCCGCCTATCTCGTGCTTGCAGACACCGCCGCCGGAGTCCAGGAACAGGCCGGCCTTGGCGCCGTGCCCAAGGCTGCCACCGCGGCGGCGTTGTTATCGCATGCCCCGGCGACGCCGGCGCGGTGGTGCGCGTCGCCGAGGCACGGGCTCGGCGGCGCGATGGACCAGTTGCTCACGAGGTCGGACAGGTTCGCCGTGAGCCGCTCCGGCCCGCCTCCGGCCGCCGCGTGGTGGTGCGCGAGCGCGCCGCCGCCGTAGCTGAGGTGCTTCTCCAGGGCGGCTGTCGTGAACTGGTGGTCCGGCCATCCGCCGCCACTGCCACTGCCGTGGCTGCTGCTGTACTCCATCTTCTTTGAGGTAGTCGCAGGCGGGAGGCTCCGCGAAGAGCTCCGGCGCGAGCGTCCTCGAGTTGAGCAGCTCGAGGAAGTTCTCGCTGTCGTCATGGGGCGTCGTGCACGGCCTGCATGCTCCTTCCAACCTCGCCGCCGGCGCCCTATACGTACAGAGGAGAGAGAACAACAACAAAAGGTGAAGCTACCAGAAGTTGCACTGATTGCACCGAAATGCCGGAAAGTGTTGTGTATGCATGAACCCTTGCTTACTATTATTAATTATTAGCACTGATTGAGAAGTGATCTATCATTGAGCAATCGATTAAAGAAATGGAGGCAAAACTTTCCTCGAAATGACGAAGCATGTGTGAGAATGTAACCAAGCAAAGAGAGGGATCAACTTTGGGAAATGGATTAAAGTACTAACAAGGGGACATGGATGCTGCTTTGATATGGTTCCACTTTTTGGTGATCCGTACCAAACAGGCCTTAGTTGCTTCTTCACAAAAATGATTAGTGGCTAACTAGCTATCTAGTTTGGCTTTGGCATTGTTATATATCAAGCTAGCTAGGTCCTGTCTCTACCCAAGTACCCAACCCTAGGTAGCAACAACTTTTTTTTAACATATATGTGTAATTCTATCGCAAGCAATCTCACTTCTCACAACACTTGTATGTTATATTATATATACATATATGCAAATTCCAATTCTAGTGGACTTGCATATATGCAAGTCTTACTAACACTTTAATCTGCAGCATGAACCTAGCAAGAGGCCACAAGCAAAGAACCTTGTGTAGCTAGCAAAAGAAGAAGAATCAAATCACAATAATTTTGTATGTACACATGTAACCCCGCTCTTGCGCGCTTTCCCCGCTAGATTTTCGAAATCGATCGAAAGCCCTTTAGTTCTCCCTTTGCTTCTTGCTTTGGTTCCTGATCCTTTGTGTGCTTTAGTTTCTTTCCCTGGCCTGCCACTAGCTAGACGACTACGCTACCGCAAACATATACTAACTTTGCAGCACATATTCTTATTCTCTGAATAACTAAGCAGCAAAGATTAATCGATCGGCGTTGTAGCAGCAGCTAGAGCTAGCTATGTGTGTAGATATATTCGTGGAAAGGAAATTTAGATGCTAGAATCTAAGCAAAGCGAGGCCGCTTTGGAGGCACTCGGACAAAGGGTAGTGGACGCATGCCCTCTTTTCATTTCACTCATCACCCCTCCTGCCGGCCGCCTGCGAATCGAATATGCATGCAAATCTTTCTACACAGTAGTATTATTATTTGATTTGATCTTGACATGTGTTCATGGAGACATGTACATGGTGGTATGTGTGTACGGATATACGTTTGACGTTTCGGTGCGTGTGTCGTACTCACATGAGGACTTGGTTCCAGAGGTGGCTCTCGGCGGCGACGGCGGCGGCCGCCTCAGCTCCGCCGGAGTCCATGCTGAGGCCAGAGTGGTTGGTGGTGGAGGTGTTGGTGAAGGACGTCATGGTGGCGTTGGAGGCCGACAGATCGTCGTCGGCGCCGCCGGAGGACGTCGTCGTCCGGCCGCCGTGCTGCTGGTGGTGGTGCGAGGCCGCCGGTGGGATCGGGGGCCACCTCGCTGCGGGTGGCTGGGGCGGCCACGCGCCGTAGGCGGCCGGGTGCATGCTGTCGCGCCACCAGGAGGCCACGGCGGCAGCCGAGGACGTGGACGAGGAGGCCGACGGCGGTGGAGGCGGCGGGGAGCTGGCGACAGAGGCCTCGGAGCCCTCCTGCGCCATGCACTGCATGCACACGGCCGGGGCAGCGGCAGCTGGTGCAGTCTAGCTAGCTAGCTAGCTTTAGCTGATGAGCTCAGCTCCAATCCTCGCTAGCTCTTGTTGCGCCGTGCGGTGTAGTGGTGGGGGAGATGAGAACGAGGAGTATGTATATATGAATGAATTTGGCTTGTGTGTCAGCGTGTGTGTGGAGGTCAGGTGATGGGAGGAGAGGAGGAGCACATTGCAGTGCATCTTAATTATGGGCTGTGAGACTTAGTACTGCTAGCTTTTTAAAGGAAGAAGAATGGATGGCTACGCCATGGTGACATCACCTGGCCTACCTAGCAGTGCGGAATAGTCCTGTCCGTCTGGCTTTGGACATCTCTATCCTTTTCGGCCAGGGGTTTGGGTGTTCGTGGGGTAAGCGTGTGTCACTCTGCTTTTGTCTCTTAAGTGGTCTTTCCTTGTTGGTAATCTTTGTATGCGCTGCCTCCTCACAATCTTACTTCTTTAACCCATTTTCATGACGATCTGGTAGTTTTTAATCCGACTTCAATCCTATATATGACTTCTTATCTTCCTATCACTACTGCACAAACCGTCATGGGTAGTTATTATGATTGACGTTGGCCTCTCCTCTATTTTAGCCCAAGCTCCGCCGCTGGCAATTGCAGACAATGTTCTATTTGGTTTTAAGTTGCTAATTTTATTGTTGATCCTATTCAGCCCCTGTGCATCAACTCGCTCCTTTAAATGGCCCAGTGCGACCATCCCTCTTCTTTCCACCAGCTGCTGACCTTTGCGTGCCTGTCTTCCTCTTAGCCAATAACCAATCCCTCTCCAAGCTTGTTAATTCTCCTGCTCGCACCCCCATGCCTGCTAGTGCGGCTAGGCTTTATGCCAAATCCTATTAGAGAACAATGGCACGCTTCCTCTCACCAGTTGTCGACCTCTGTGTGCCCCTCTTCCTCCTTGTCGACCATCGACCTCTCCACATGCAGACATGGGCTTCCTCCTGTTGACCTATTCTTTCTCCCCACGAACTCCAGATTCTCATTGCTCCCAGCATTCATGCACCATAGGCCACCGACACACGCTTCTCTTGCATTCTCCCGACCTCTTCTTCCTCCTCACAAATGCTCGCACTTGCTTCCATACTTAGATTCACCCTTGTCGTGCCCAAGTGGACTGAGCCGTCCGGCCGATTTGAGGGAAACCCCACATCTAGAGGGAATACTCCCTTGTCCTCTTCAGGGATGGTTCCCTCCCACTCACCTTGGAAACAAACAACGTGAAATATAGGCTCACCCATGCCATTCTCCACCGTCCCACCAACCGTACACACGCTAGATGAACTATGGAAAATATCAATAACAAAAAGTGAGGCATAAGAAGACAAACTATCAATCCTTGACTTAGAGGACTGAGAAAATGGTAACGTACACACAGAAAAGCTCTAAATTTATTCATGAAGAGTTTGCCATGGTCAAATTTAAAACAATGGCTTAAATTTAAATGCATCAAGTTCCCTAGATGACACTTTTATTTTAGGAAACAACTAACGGTATGCAAAATATATTTGTAGGTTTATATCCATCATTATCATGGGCAACTCCTCGAAAATCGATCATGATTAGTAGTACATGCATGGATACACACTTAAATAACAAACTACAGTAATAACACTCTCTGGCCCTGTTTCATTCGCCCTTAAAACCCAGATTGATCCGCTTATTTTTTCATCCGGAATAGTATTTTTTCTCTCACAAATTCCTCCAAAGATTCCTCCAAACCATCAAAATTCCTCCAGAATTGTAGACAAGAGAACAGGCCTCTATCCGAGCCATCATTGCAATCTAATTAAGTGATGGACAAGCAGAAGCTAAGATGAAACCGTACCCTAGGTGAAGTCAATGCATAGGACGATGCCTTCAGAGTTCAGATTATGATTTAATTTGAGCATGCGCTCGATCGTTATCGCTGGATTCTCTATCTCATCTCTGACCCTACCATGAATTCATGAATTTCACACCCTGCAGTAGTGATCCTGCAGATTGTGGCATCATTGCAGCACGATGGCGTGCGCATGCCACATGCACATATATCACTACAGGAAACAATATAATTGCCGAAGCATGAGGATTTGCCGAGTGCATTCCATCGGGCAATCGACAAATATCTCTATTTACCGAAAGTGTTTTGAATGAAACACTCAAAAAACAAATAGCACTCGTAAATTCAACTTTGCCGAAAGTGCTTAAAAGAAAACACTCAGCAAACATGGACACTGACGCAAAGCATACAGACGCAAGCGCTGAAGTGCGGCGACGGACGTCGGCAACGTGACGCCGCGTTAAGCCTACCGCCGTTAGAACTTTGCCGAGTGTCGTTAGAGACACTCGGCAAAGACAAGGCTTGCCGAGTGTTCTCGCAAGGCACACCGGTAAAGTAATAATGTTGCCGAGTGTTTTTATTGGCACCGGCAAAATAATATTTTTTCCTCTCCCCGCCTCCAAACTTTTTTTACTCTCCACATACAACATGTGGTACTACATGTTAAAATTTGGTATATTTCTATCTGCTTGCTATATTTAATTAATTTATTGTATTTAGAGGAATTTTTTTTGTTTAAGTCAAATTTGAACTGCAAGTGATTCAAATAATGGAATAAATTGAGTGGAAAAATCATATTCATGTTATTGAGTCCATTTTGGAGCCTTACCCGAAATGAAATGAAATTTCTAACATTTTGTTCAGAAACACGCACTACCGAACATGTGGTCGAATGGTTTTTAAATTCTAAAAAAGCAAATCGAGGTATGAAAAATCACGAGATTTGTCAAGATCTCCTGATATCATATGTGGAGACCGTGGAAAAATTGAGAAGGTTTCGCAGATAATTTGTCACGTATGACGCTATATAAATTGAAGCATCTCCAAGAAGAATCAAGGAGTTGAGAAGAATCACGGTAGATTTGGAGTCAAAGTGACAGTTGAATTGGTGTTTGACTTTAAAACTTTTGTATAGACAATACACAACATTGATTGGTCCATGTCAAATTTTGGGATTTTTTCGATCCATTTGATAATTTTAATTTATTAACTGCAATTATAGAATTTTAATTGATATAAATTGAATTTAAGCTATAACTCGCATCTAAATAATGGAATAATATTCAGAGAAAAAATCAAATATACATTGTTAAGTGAATTTGACAAGATACTTTCAAAGTCCATCATAATAAATTTAGTAGAACACGCTATGAAGGAGGACCTGCGGCAAAGATGAAATACTTTTTTTGCCGAGTGTTCTACGTGACACTCGGCAATAATAGTTGTCGAGTGTCTTGACAGGTACACTCGACAACTTTGTTGATCCTACCTTCACTGCGCGCGCACGGACGGTTTGAAAATAATAAAAACAATGCCGAAAGTGCCCCGATTCGGACACTCGGCGATATCTTTAGTTTGCCGAGTGCCCGTGACGGGGCACTTGGCATACTTTTCATATGACCTTGGCTGCACACCTCGACGCACACGACACTCACGCACACACGCTACTACCACACTCATGCACTCACACGCCAGCCG